TCCCCCCCCCCCCCCCCCACAACCCCCCAACCCCCCCCAAAAAAAAGCCCCAAATAGCGCTAAACTGACAGGGCAATGCACAGGCATTCTATTCAGATGAAGACCGTAATTCTGGTTTAGACTCTAGACTCCAGAGGGTAAAAAAGGGGAGAGAGAGAATCAGGGCTTCATTCCAGTGCACTACCGTCTTAAAGTGAACACGGATGAGGACTACCATCTTCACAGTACTGTGCATTTTAATGAGTGAGCTTCCCCTCCTGAGCCCTTTATTTTTCTATTGGTTGGCAAATGAAACGGGGTGGCCTAGCTCAGTTGGTACACCACCCATGAACTGTTGAAATATGAATCGGACCCAAGTTCGAATCCAGATGCAATCAGATGAACAGAATAAAACAGGGTGATCGCCCTTGCAATCGAAGGAACCGTCGCCGTAAACCTGTAGCATTTTCTTTTCCCTCCAAATCTCTCAAATACAAATACAATAAAGACAGAGAAAGGATCTGCTGGGAACAGGGGTGACGGCCACACCTCCGCATAACAATCTCCAAGCTGAGTCTCTGTCAAAGTGGCATCTTTCAGGCGAGGTGCCGCCCAGCCTTTCTCTCCTGATCCGCCCAAGACGTGAGCGCAAAGCCGAAACAAAGACACACATCGACGTCAACAGTGCACAGCAAAGAACACAGCAATCATTATAAACTTATAAAGCCATAAAAAACCTCCCCCACAAAATTGTGTGGTACTGAAGTAACTGAACAAGTCTTTGTGTTGTCCTCAACTGTGAAGTGAAAACAATGTCACTTGTATATTGAATTATAAAGTGAAAAAAAAAAACAATCTCCCCCTGAATTGGTCGCGGACATACTTCAGGGTGGGTAGGCATGGAGTCCGCAGGTGGAGATTGTTTTCACTTTATAATGCAATACAAGTGACATTGTTTTCACTTCACAATTGAGCGCCACACAAAGGGAACTTGCCCACAATACAGGTCTCCTTAGCGCGCCCCTTCAGAGGCCTCTCGCCTAATGCGCTGCAATTGCAGACCAACACGGTCAAATTTAGCGGACACCACAGGCATTGCCCATTAATAGCGCACATTATTGCGCCACCATAGTCTATGGGGTAGAGCTTGTTTCCAGATCAGCAAAGCCAGTCCATGTTTTTCTTTTTTTTTTTTTTTTTTTTTTTTTTGAGCCACTCGTATGCTGCCGGGCCGGGCCTCTGCAAGTGAAACAGTGTGTGTCTTATGAGCGACACACATGTTCTGTCACTCCTCACAGACAGGGAGAGGTCTTATGAGCAACGCACATGTTCTAACACTCCTCACAGACAGGGAGACGCCAGCCCCTATGAAAAAACCTACCGGGCGAACCACTCCCTTCTCAAGCTGCAATTGGAACGATACGCGTACCGTTCCAATTGCAAGGATGAACCTACCGGCAATTTAGAGGAAGGGGACGAGACAAGAATGTCTGCAAAGTTCGGTGCACACTGCACACTGACAGACAAAGTCACATTCACGAGGCTGTCCTGCCCGACGTTTCTAGCGCACGCACGCAGCAAAGACGATCATCACAATAGTCGAGCGAACACCACACAGACTCTACACGAACAGACGCGTTCTAAACTTACATCGGCAGGTAAATCCGGGTAGAGCGGTGTCATGCGCATCCAAAAAGGCCGGAGCCAATGCGCTCGACAGGGGTAACTGCACGGTAGCTGCATCGGCAGGTAGGTGCGGGTAGAGAAGTAACTGCACGGTAGCTGCATGGTGTGGAATGCACGTGTAAAAGATGAGCGGGTTCAAATCCAATTGGATTATCAGATAATTTAATAGGGGCTATATATCCCTTCTCCAAAACAAGAAAAAACAAAAGGGTGGATATACATTGGAAGAAGCCGGAGGGTACAGAAAGTGAACCAAGCTAAAGAGAAGGTTTATGCGAGAACGAGGACACGGAGAGAGCCGGAAGAGCGATGACAAGGACAATGGTGAGCAGAGACACGAAAGCAGATGTGGAAGGGGGGAGGAGCTGGTGAAAAGAGGACACAAAGAAAAGGGCTCTCTGGCTATCCCAATCGTTTCTGTACCATGTGGAGTGGGTGTGGAGGACAAACTATGGAGAGGATATTGGGAGAGCAGCAAAGGCGGGGAGAGAGAGAGAGAGAGAGAGAGAGAGAGAGAGAGAGAG